GCCTCCAGGAAGCCGCGGGGTGGTCGCGGGTGCGGGAAGTCTCCGATTTGGCCTCGCGGCCGGCCGCCTGAAGGGGGTGCACGGCGGTGGGAGCCTCCGTCGCCGCTGTCACCAGCTGCTGTCGCCGCCGCTGCTGCCGGTTGTGCGTGAGCGTGTGAGCGCCTGTGTCCGGGCGAGTGTGTGTCTGCGTGCGGCGCCCGGCCTTTACTATATACACCAAGGGGTGGGAGGAGGCGGGGAAGGGGAGGGTTTGGGGGAGGTGGCGGAGGAGGGGGAGCAGGAGGGGGGCGAAAGGGTACCCGAGGAGGCGGCGGCGGAGGAGGGACAGGTGATCTCGCCCACGGGGAGGGCGTGGCTGTGGGCGGCGCGGGGTGGCAAGAGGAAGGGGAGCCCTGGGCTGGGGGCTGGAGGACGAACCCGGGAGGATAGGAGGATCAGGGACCCTGCTGCCTCCTGGCAGGCTGGGGACCATTCCAGACCCCTGGATGAAGAAGAGAGAGGAACAGAGCCCAGGAGGCTAGGGAGGTGGGAAGGGCCAGGCGATCACCCTAAAATGCCGATTGTGATACCGGTCGAAGATTGTTCTTGCAAAGTGGGAGATTAGTCAAGACAAAATTAGTCCATGGACAGAATCTAATTTCTACCCAAGGAATGAGTCACATGTTTGTCTAACATTTATTAAGCACCTAGTGTTTGCCAGTCACAGGGCTAGGAACTGAAGAGATGGTGAATATATGGTTTCTGATCAGTAAATAAATAATATGTATCAATAGTATTATTGGTCATTAAAAGTTAAATCTTTAAAATGTTTTACAAAAGCAAAGGAAGCAACTACGTTGGTTTAATGAATCCCTAAAGATGTAAAGATTTTTTTTCTATTAATCAAAGCAGGATGAAGATATTTCAGAAAGAATGGCAGAGCAGGAATTACTTTCATCAGAACAGAGAGCAGTTGAATCTATCTGTTCTTTGTATGCTTAAACCCCCTCAATTCCCAACGCTGTGTGTATTCATCATGACTTCCCTCTTGTAGAATTTGGGGTAGCCACAAGAGTGTGAAATACCTAGGGAACCTCCTGCACGGTTTTTAACTAGTATGGAAATTTAAACTTGTATTTGAAAGGCTGTATTATAACCATGATATGAGGCAAGCCTAGTGTGGTAGTAACCAGGGCCAAATGATGACTTTCGTGAACACTTTTGCCTTGTGGACTCCTTCCTCCATAAAAAATTTGAAAAGTTACATTTACAATTGCATTGGCAAAAGATGAATATATTAGCATTATGTGTTAAAACTGTTACTTCAATCTAAAAGTTTTTTTCTTTCTAATTTTAAAAGATTTTTAAAATTTCTATGAACCTCTTAAAGGTTCTACTGGAAGTCAGCCCTGGTAGTACCAATCCTTCTAGCAGAATTTCCTGTTATGAAAAAGAAGAGTTAAATTAAGAACTCAATCTGCACAGGGGCAGAAAGATACACAATGCAAGTTTGAGAATTGATAATAATGATTATCAACAGCATGTACCAGTTCCTGCTTGTTTCACTCAGGCTTTGGAGGTTTTAAATGAGCCCTGAGTAAGTAATGGTACCTGTGGAAATATTTGTCTATGAATGTGTCTTCAACCATTTCAGTAACAAAGACTTTCTCTATAGATCTCATAACTGGTCAGAGTTCTTGGATCAGGCATGTGAGGTCTCAGTTGCCAGGACCTAGCCTGAATACAACTAAAGACACAGCTGGGCAATTATAATTGGGCAAGTTCATGGATGAAAGATCCATAAAGGTTTTGTGTGTGTTGAGAGTGTATGTGTGTATAAGTTAGGGATTGATATCCTGAAAGGCAATTACTAGCCTATTTCTTTTGTTGGCCTCATCACAACCCTGGGTTAATGTTTGATCCTTGCTGGCAGTTGTGATTCATATTTGCTGCCCTTTGAGGTGCTTAGGTTCTCAGGAACTATTTTATTGATTCAGATTAATGCATAATAAACAGGCACCATGGCCCCCATTCCCAAAGAAATGTACAGTGGTACCCTTTTGCATTTCCATAGCGGCTGCTCTCTCAGAGGAAAGGAATAAAAGAGGAAGGAGTTTATGAAGAGCAGGACTGGGCTTAGGAAGGGGGACAGAGGGTGCTTTGGGACTGAAATTAATGTGGAAGGATCATGTTCATACAGTTAAAAGGGTACCTAGTAAAGTGGAGGGAAGGAAGAACATTCCCCAAGAGCAGGAAAGAACAACAACAGAATCTACTAGGGTGGGTCAGGGTGATTTTTGAAGATCTGTAATTCTAATATTTGGTGATTTTTAAATAATGACCAAGGAAATTTCCCATCTATACCCTATTTTATCTATATCCTCTTCTCTAACACAGCATCTCCTCAAATCTAGTTTCACATGCTTTCCAGATTCATTCATTTATCCAATAAACATCTACTAAGCACCTACTGGTTACCCAGTCACTGAGCAAAAGACTTCAGTTAGAGAGATGGTTAATATATGGTCACTGACATATGAGTAAATAAACTGTTAATAATACATTGTGATATTATGTTGTACATGATGAGTTTTGAAATGGACTAGGTGAACACCTAGCAAGTGGGCTTTTTGCTAGATGAGAAGAGTGGGGAATGGCATGGGGCAGAGAAGTCAGGAAACTTTGCACAGAGATGTGACAGTTACTGAGTGCTCAGAGATGGACACAAGTTTTCCAGTGTTAGGAAAAGCTATTGTATATGAGGGGAACCACAGGCACTAAAGCCTGGATGCAGAATTTTCTAGAAGCTGCAAGTATCTTGTGAATCTGTAGTAGAGGCTGTAAGGAATAGCAGAGGAGAAGGAAAAAGGAAGCTAGAGGTCACATGAGGCCCTTAGTCTGCTCTGTAAAGGAGCTTTTCTTTCTTTTTCTTTAAAATATTTCTTTAGTTGTAGATGGACACATTACCTTTATTTTATTTATTTTATTTTTATGTTGTGCTGAAGATCAAACCCATTGCCTCACATATGCAATTTCTATCCCTGAGCTACAACCCCAGCCCGGAGCTTTTCTTTTTATATGTATTTTTATTTGTGCATTATAGTTATATATAATAGTAGGTTCACTGGACACATTCATAAATGCATATAGCATGATTTGCTCCATTTTATTCTCAGTATTTTCCCTTTCCCTCTCCTCCTGCCTCTCTCTAACACCCTACTACTCTGCTGGTCTTCCTTCTATTTATTTTAAATTGGTACATTGTAATTATACATAATAGTGGGGTTCATTGTGATATATTCATAAATGCATATAACATAATTTGCTCCATTTCATTCCATAGTTCTTTCCTCCCTCCAGAACCCTCCCCCCTTACTCTACTGATCTCCCTGCTATTTTCACGAGACTCCCCTTTTTATTCCTTTTTTCTTTTTAGCTTCCACATGAGAGAAAACATTTGGCCCTTGACTCTTGACTTTCTGAGTCTGGTGTATTTTACTTAGCATGATGTTATCTAGTCCCATCTATTTACTAGCAAAAGAAAATCTTTGAATAGAACTCCATTGTGTGTATATACCACATTTTCTTTATTCATTCATCTGTTGATGGACACCTAAAATCAGTAAATAGGATGGCAAGTTAAAAAGCTTCTGCACAACAAAGGAAACAATTAAAAGCGTGAAAAGAGCCTACAGAATGGGAGAAAATCTTTGCCAGGTACTCTTCACACAGAGGATTAATATCCAGAATATATAAAGAACTCAAAACTTAGAACAACAACCCAAATAGACCAATCAATAAATGGACAAAAGAACTAGACTTTTCTTAAAAAAAGAAATGCAATCTGGGCATGGTGGCACACATCTGTAATCCCAGAGGCTCGGAAGGCTGAGGCTGGAGGATTGCAAATTCAAAGATAACCTCAGCAAAAGCGAAGCTTTAAGCAACTCAGTGAGACCCTGTCTCTAAATAAAATACAAAATAGGTTGGAGATGTGGCTCAGTGGTCATGTGCCTCTGAGTTCAATCCCTGGTACCCACCCAAAAAAAGAAGAAATGCAAATGACAACAAATATATGAAAAAATATTCAGCATCCTCGACAAGAAGGAAAATGGAAATCAAAACTACACTGAGATTTCATCTCACCCAGGTTAGAAGGCAAGCATCAAGGATATAAATAATAATAAGTGATGGCAAAGCATGTGGGGCGAAATGAACACTTTTGATACATTGTTGGTAAGGCTGCAAATTAGTATAACCACTACAGAAAAGAGTATGGAGGCTCCTCCAAAACAACAAAACAAAAAAAGACTAGGAATGGGACCATTATATGACCCTGCTATTCTACTACTTGGGAATCATCTGATAGATTTGAAATCCACATATTATAGTGATATTTGCATTCCAATATTTATAGTAGCACAGTTCACAGTAGGAGCTTTTTCTTCTAGTTTTGGGGAACAATTAGATAACATTAAACAAAGAAAGAGTTGAATTG